GTCTTTGATTAGACGTTTTTAATCACACTGTCTGTCACAGAGAGCCGAAGCGCTCCTCGGCTTCCCTCTCATGCTATTTCGAATGAGAATCTTCCCGGCTCCCGCGGATAGGAAACACCTCCCACAGCGTATTTGTTCAGATGAAAGTTTGTTATTCACCTGTCTGACAGTGTTGCTCTGCTTCCACCATTTCTTTTTTTTTTTTACAATAATTCCATGTCAGGTGCTTTGGTCTCTGGCACTCACACGGCATATTTGTCGAGGGCTCTTTGTTGTGAAGTGCGAAATATCTGAAGGTAGTCAAGGCCTTGAGGTACTGTACAGATATTTTCCTGTATTTGCTTTTGAACTCACAACTCATCTTTTTTTGATGTACTTGAGAAGTTTCACAGCTATAAGACGATCTGTTTTGCAAAAAAGATACGCTCAAACCAAGGCTGACCCAGAGGCCGGTTTAAGATTCTGTAAACATAAAAAGAGCTGAATGCTTCCGACGGATGCAGCAGCTTCAGAACAACTAAGATCGTGTTGGATGTTTTGGTCCAGTAATTCTAACACTGTTAAACAGTTTTAGCATTTGGGCAACAGACTCTCAGACTCATTAAATGATTTCTGTAAATGTTAGATGTTGTTTTAGGACTGCCTGCATTTAAGGAAGAAGAAAAAAGCCTTGAAGTTTTAATTGCTAATTACAGATTACAAAAGTTGTTCAGTCTGGTGTGAAGGATACTGTGCAGGAAATTGGTTAATTTGATTTGTGTGTTTCATTTTATTATTTCAAATTAAGGAATAATGTCTCAAGTAATTTCTACTGTTTTACTGAATTTGTAAAATTCAATAAATCAGTTTTTAAAAAAGTGATCCACAGCAGATTCCAGTGAACAGAAGACCACAGGCACATCAGTCGACCTGTTTCCAGCCCTGACCTAAGAAGCAAATGGACGTGTGTCAAGAATGTAGGAATTCATCCTCATGACGGCAATGTTCGCAAACATCTCTGACAACCGCAGTAAACAGCCAGGTAAGAATGTAATTTGTCGCCTTTCAATCCACTGCACAAACAGTGAGACGAAATGGAAACTTGTAGGTTTGTCGTACTGTCGAACCGACCGGAGGAACACGGTGTTATTCCAGGAAGCAGCTTTGTGAAGTCCCCCTGATGCATTACATGGCAAACGTAATACTGGTATTTTAAAGAAAGGTTTACAAAAGACTGTGAAAAGGGAAGATAAGGACCAGCTTTGTTGCTTTGGAAATGAAATGATGGAGATAAAATCATTCTTCATGATGTAGCGTATCAAAAACGCTTGTTGTTGAACACCTAACACCGTCCTCCTGTAATGTGAAGCTGCTTTACATGCATATTTATGGCTAGATAGGTCTGACTGGTCTGACCAAATGTCGAGAGGCCATTTGACCCTTGACCTTTTGGCACTTATAATGTTATTGGTGTAGATGATACAATTACTACCAGAGGCGGTGCTTATGGGCTGTTTAATGATTTGATCAGTCTGATGTAATGAGTGTAGCATAAAATCACAGCAGCATGAATGAAAAATTAATGGGAAATTTGAAGAACATGACCTTAAAATGGCACTAAAACATAAATTATTTGCTTTTCAAGAATGGGGTTTGAAGTGGGGCACACAAGGGCAGATTTAAAATTAAAATGAGCAAATATGTGTTAATACTTAAAGCTAAAAGCCCTGGTTCATGGTGTGCTGTTTGTAACTCCAAATAGTCACGGTTAGATCGTACAACAACAGACTCCTGTACACATGTAAACAGACTTTCTACCTCTCATATGACTCCAAATCCAACAAATAGCCTTGTTTTGTGTCTCTTTGCAGTCTGTCTGTATGTCTGTCTGGTCATTTTCATCCTCTTTGTGTTCTATTTGTAGTCATTTTGCATTTCTTTGTGGTTAATACTAACAAGCCAGCTACCTGTCACTCCTGACTCCATAAAGGGCCACCAAGGCTGGACAATTAGATTCCAGAGCGGGTCCTTACCACTCTTGTTTTTGCTACTTTTGCATTGAATGTTTATCCTTCCTTTGATTTATTTATTTATTTTTTTCCTTGCACAGGTGAGTTTTGACCTCGGCTGTAATTGGTTGCATTTCAGTGAGGATCCAGCTTTTAGGATTACAACTGATCCTCTCTCTCTCAGACAGAAACGGAAGAGTTGGTAAAAAAAGACAACCATTAAAAATGCTGATGCATTTGCATGCGCCGCGTTGGAAGTTTTGCAATTTGCAGATCAGAGCTTACACGGGATCAGCGCGGCGTAAGCTCAGGAAAGACTTTACATGTAGGCATTTTATTCTATACAATCCCACATGCAGATTCAGCACTTACATCTAATGCATCTCATACTGTGTTTTCTCTCTGCTTAGTGAGATTTATGGGGAAGACAGTAGCAAATCGCCACAGATCTTTTCAATCCTCTTTGATGGATAGATACAATGCAGAATTTCAAACATGGCACGCTCAAAACGGAGTTTCCTCTTAGTCAAATATGAGCTCGAGTATAATGTCATAAAGCATTTACAGGCAGTTAGATTTTTTTTTTTTTCTGTGCGATATTGCAGTGCCAGATGTGGTTTAACTCTTGTCCACCTCATTGTCGACACAACAGGCAGACGTAAAGCTTATTTGTATACAAGAAACAAACAGACCAGCTGGAAAGTGACAAGGGTATTGTAAACGCTCAGCGCTGCAAGTCCTGATATTGAACTCATGCTTTGTCAACACTGGCTTTAATTCTTTATATCAATTATTCGGTGTCCTTGTGACGACACTGCTGTGTGAGTTAAATTAACAATTGCATTTGTTTTCTTTTTTCTTACATTTATCTTTTTACTTTATTGAAATCCCTTTAAGGTTCCCTTTGCCACAAATTCTGCTTTCACGTTTTAATAAATGTAGAAATGACCATGGAAATTTGTCATAATGAACAAAGTGAGGCTAAATGGTCTGCACTTATATAGCACTTTTATCCAAAGCGCTCTACAGTGTACACCCATTCACACACACCAGTGGTGACAGAGCTGCCATGCAACAACTTCGGGTTCAGCATCATGCCCAAGGACACTTTGACTGTGGAGGGGCCGGGGATCGAACCACCAACCTTGCGATTGGAAGACCACCTGCTCTACCATCTGAGCCACAGCTGCCCTAAATGTAACCATGTCTTACAACTGACATTGCTGAGACACCAAATGCACCATTTTCTGTAGCAGACTCCCAAAAATACTTTGATATCAAAGTGATGAAATAAAGGCACCTGGTTACCTCCTAGGAGGGGCCGAGGGAGCCGCGACCACCTGATAGGGCAATGGCAAAACATTAACAGGAGCTGAAGTTTGATTTTTTTTTTTTGTTGCTTCAGCTGTTTGTAGGAGTCTTTCCTCTGAGTTTATTAAATACCTGCAGCATCAGACAGCAGCAGGATCCAGATGGAGCTATGGACATTCGTGCACAACCACACTGACATAATCAAATACTAATAATAAAAATCTGATCCAATTGGTAAAGATTTTTCCATTTCACAGCTGGATATTTGCATATTGTTTGCATGAGTGCCTTACCGAATGGATAAAAAAAGTTCTCACATTAAATATAAATATAAATACAGCAACAGGTAGCTATGGAAACATGTTTTATGCGGAACTTTTCAAACACACTGCAGCCTCTCCTCTCCTGGACGATTCTGATCAGTGGTCACTCTAACACCAAGAATGTTAACTACACGTTTTAATCAGTGTACATCAGATAATTAGTGACATTCACTGCAAAGTAGGACACTGAGGTATGTCTGTGTGTCATTTCTTAACTCTAATTCTGACATAGTTTGAAATAGCCTCTATACAGGAGATGACAATTCCTGGAATTCGGCTATGGTCTTTGGGTTTTTGTGTCGCCCCTGTTAGTTCCAAAACAAGTGTCTAGGTTGAATCTAGACCTCAGGTTCAGGCTGACCAAGTCAAAACAGAGTGGGTCAGTCATTCAAAACATGCTTATTCAACAGGTGATGAGTTCAGATATTAGAAAAAATGAAGAAGAAGAAAAAAAAAAGAACAGACAAGTATGGAGAAACAGATGAACGATGTCGAACCTGGCTTTGAAAATGAGGTAAAGTGGCCTTTATGGTCATGAGCTGATTTTGGAAATGACAGCAGGTGCAAATGAGTGACAGTGAGGTGACTGTGAGGGCCAGAGCAGCGCGCTCAGCTGCGAGGCTGCGGGGTAGCAGCGTGTGAAATGACAGAGAGGATGCCAGCAGGAGGATACGAGCACTATTAAGAGCTGTTATGGCGCACACTGGGGAGGTTTTTAACATTAACTTTGCGATTTCCTTCATTATTGTGGGCGTTCAGCGAGACTGCAGAACGATTTGGATTAGTTCCAATTTACTGATATCTGATTCATTAGATGCTCAGGATCTAATATTCATGCGAGAGTTTAAACTGATTCAATTACGCGCCAAATTATACAACAACAACAAAAAAATAACTTCGCTTCTCTTCAAAATCTCTCATGGAACGAGGCTGCTGCACTGACATTTGGGAATCCCTGCCTGTGGAGAAGCCACAGCACAACTTTGGGTGGCGCCAGAGTGCAAGAAAAGAGAAAGCGCATGAATCCCCAGCACAACTTACGGGTTAATCTGCCCAGAGAGTCGCTTTATGGCTTCGGCCGTCTTCCACATCCACGCTACATGATGTGTGAGTCTCTTCGGCGGGTGGTTGGACTTGCCACCTGTCAGGAATGTTGAACATCGCTGAGGACCGTCCGGACCTCTCCTACTTTTGCGCTGGAAAACGTTAACCTGCTTTTTTTGTGCCGGGGTCTTTGGCGTTGCTGAAATAAACATGGGCAACTTTGCCTGATATCTGCACCAGAGAAAGTGAGCCACACGCGTAAGTGGTGAGATTATAAACGGAGTCTCTAAGCGCCCGGGAGGCTCCGACCCCTCTCGCTTTGAAGATTAGAGGGTTGACGACGTCTGAAGGACACTAAGAACGGGATTAGGCATTGTGCAGTCTAACCTACTTCTCATTACTCCTGCATCTTGTCCTCTGAAAATTTGCGCAATGACCTTTGGTGCACTTGGAATACAGCGGGTGCGCCCGTGAGGTAAGAAAAAAATCATTCTAGTCACTGCTGACTTTTTTTTTTTTTTTTATTAAGGCTGCTTGTGGAGTAATTGTGTGAAGTTGTGCCAGGCAGCGAAATTTACTCTGAGCACACAGCAATTTATGTTTGGAGATTTATTGATATCCTCTGTGAGAGCCTGTTACGCGCAGGTGCCATCGTGTTCCTAATTTCACCGAAAACGAGCTACTGGATGGTTATCTCTCACGCTGCACGTTGTGCAGCTTCATCCAGGGACCAAGCACGATATTTTACAAGCCGAACAGGTTATCCAAACGCTCCGTACGCATGAGAGCTGGTGTAATTTGCGGGATGTGCCAACGTTCAGAGACGATTAATAGTTACGGGATTCGTGTTTTTAGACCGTGGCACTGCGTAAATGTTTGGTGGCGCTGACAGCTGTTGGAAAATACCTCGACCTACTCTGATTAGAGCATCAGAAATGTTCACAGTTTTTTATTTCTGTGGCCTCAATTCACATGATTAGGTGAAGAATTTACAAAATGATGTAGGGAAACACATCCAGGTGGAGGTTTTATCTTCTGAGTGCCACTATCAAAGAACACATGTGGTTTGGATTGTGCCATGATTTTATTTTATTTTATTTTATTTTTTTAGCTCACCTCATGCTGGAAGCCAAAGGGGGCATCTTTGATTTTGGCATCATCATGAACAACAACAACACAAAATGAATCATTAAAGAGCATGGCATTAATTTGTAAAGAAACACATCATTTCATGACACAGCAGACTGCATCAGACTGAATGAATCTACATCCCTGCACGTGCATTCACTCCTGACTCCAAGTGAGTGCACAGGAAGCCTACAGCATACCCTAGTGCATGCCTTGAACTGCAGTCTGTCCATCTATATAGCTGTGTAAGCCATTGTACTTTGTTTATTTTAGAACCGAACAGCATAAAGGCAGACCTGGCTCTGTATTTAGAGGGATGCTGCTCAGGTCAGTGTGGTTGTACTGAAGGTTTTTAGAGCTCCCACAGCACACACTTATTTCCCAAGTCTCACACATGCCTTAATTTGACTTTATTTGTGCCAAAAGGTAGCTGGAGATCGGTAGGAATTCATCTACCTGGATTCAGCCAGCGATGTGAAATCAAGTGATACAGTATCGTAGAGTATGTGCATATTGATGCTTACAGTGAGCACCAAGGCAAGCCGCTTTCTCCCATCCTCCCCTGTTATCTTATGTTGTCTGTACTACAGTTTCCAACAGCTACAGGTTTGGATAGTGCCCTGGCAGTGTGCAGGGAATATTTAAAAAGCATTGCTGCAGGATGTCTTCATCAGTCTAGGGTTGGGCCTGTTTTTTCCAGAGGCGCACATTTGGGAAATGAGAGATGAAGAGTAGCGTGGCTCGGGCCAGCCAGACTCCATTGATATTCTGCCTGTGTCCTGCTCCATAGGCAGCCCATTGTCATGGCACGCTCAGTGGGATAGCATCTGATGATTGAGGTGTATGGAAGAGGTTTGAAAGCCTGCTTGAAAAGAAACTAAAGGTTTATTTATTGAAGGTTAAAGATATGTCCTCACAGTAGAGGGAGATGGTGTGTATGTGTTTGCATATTGTATGAGAGTTACATGGTGGTAAAGTCAGAAAAAAATCTGGTATGATATTTTATTGATTGTTTAGTTTGTATTTGATTGCATGCACCTAATTGCTGGCATCTTGAACTGAATTCTCTCCATATTAGATTCACATGTACTTTAGTTAAACGGGTAATTTGATGCATATTTACCAAAATAACATCTGAATTTTCTAACTTGGCCCTTTCATTTTCTTTAATTGCAACCTTGGTGGCACAAAACTAAAAAAAAAAAAAAAACAGAGAAGCTTCCAAGCAACACAGGTGCATCTCAAGTTTCAAAGGGTGCACCCACTCTAACATCAGGTGCAACAGTGCCATACTGTGTGGCCACACAGCCTGTAGACGATTCATGGCTAGCCAAGCAGAAAGATTTATCTGTCGTGGGTGCGTGAAATTGCAACGCTCTGCAGTATTCTGTCCAGGGCCGGTGAGAGAGACAGATCCTCCATTGCTTTGGGAAATAAAGAAGTAACAGAGAGGAGCCCTGCTAAAAAAAAAAAAAAAGAAAAGAAACAAGAGGGGAGCAAACACTAATGGCTGCCTGTGCTCTGTATCAGGTAGAAATGATCAAGGCTGCAGAGACAGGGAAATGAAATAAGCAGAAAAGAGCAACCACGGGGGAGTAACGAAGAAATTAATCAGAGGAGATGGAGAAAATAAAAGGTAACTTTGCCACGGAAGTTGATGCACCGAAGTGCAAAAGTTTACAAGTGGCTACAGAAGGAGGATGTTGCTCTTATCCTGGCACAAAACATCCTCAATATTGTTTTAACACGTTTTTTTTTTGCTATTTCACCTTTCAAATTTGCTGTGCGTGCTGTATATAATTTATGTACAACTTAATAGACTGAAAATACATAAACTACATGGTGTGCTCTTATTGACTGATATATGCACTAGAAAGTTATTCTGCTTCCTTTCCTGACCTTTAAAAATGTCCATCAGTAGGTTTAAGCATGTGATTTTCATGTTTGGCTCAAATTATAGGGCTCTGCTGGACACATCTGTAAAAATATCACCAGGTCGGTTGATGGTAGTCACTTCCAGCCAATTTCATTAAAAAAAAAGACAATAAAACCGTCAAAAGAGTGAGTAAAGAACCAGATTTGCTGTAGATTTTTCTTTTACTTTCGGAAGAACTCGTTGCATGCTGTGAGCTGCAAATTGAGAATACAACATTTCATCAGCTCAGTCTTGAGGTGTTGTAAATTTATAGCCGAAAGCTTGTAGCTGCATAGGTCGTAGTAGGGCTTGACTAACCGCTGTGGCTGGCAGCTGTAGTACAAGTCTGCGTCCAGGTCTCCACTGAAGCATGAAGGGAGAAGATGATTGCATATAAGTTATCTCCATGAGGCAACACCAATAGTCTCGAAATTAATGGAAGGCGAACTTGATATGAATATGAAAAACTACGGACGCACCGCTCATCCTTTCCATCTCGCGTTCCTTCCCTCTGCTTATCTCTCCTTTTTCTCGTCACTGTTAAATAACGGAAACTAGCTCCGTCCTTTTCATGCTGCTCCTTTCCTGTCTGGATAAGAACTGTTTGCACTTGATAGCAGGTTTATGGAATAATTTCATTATTAATGTGTTGAATCTGTTTTTTTAGTTAACAGACAGACTCATTGTAGTAGGGAGTATAGCCAGATAATCTACAGTAGAATCTAACAGAATGCTGAAGGGCAATTTGTTCCTCAGCTTTTGTGCTTTCACCCTCCGCTTAAATCTTTGAATATAGAGCGCTGCCAAGTAGTGTCTTGTGGAGAAATGTGGGAAATCTTTAAGTGTAATTTTTTTGATTTGATCCGCTGTTCTCTGAGAAAAATATTAGTGAAGTTAATAATTACCTCCGTGTCTCCCAAAAAGTCTAACGGTCAGCAGAGGATCCGGAGCGATTATCCTCACTGTGTGCGAGCATGAAAAGCTACACGATTAAACCAGCGCAACCTCAACATCAGTTGTGTCTGAGTGTAATCAAGACGCCGCATAATAGTGTTTCCCCCTTATTGAATCGTCCATTTTAATAACAGTGTGAAACGACAATGCCAACGTGCCGATTCGCACTAGATTGGGCAGTTATCACGCTGTTGATATTTGGGCCCTTTGCTTGTAGAATCAATAATTAGATAGAGGCTGAAAGATGTTTTCTGTTTACTCGCCTTTCAGTTAAAGTCCATCTAATGAGCAACCAGTGCAGCTGCAAAACTCGTATTAACCTATAAATTATCATTAAGCACCATCTCCCTTGAGCGGCTGGCCTTGGAACAAATTTATCATTTTTTAAGCTTTTCTCAAGGAACGTCCACTCGAGCTTTAAGGAGGAAACGGTTTGACAGAGTCGGATTTGCGGATTATTTTCATGATTTGCGAGGATGTTTGCGAGCGTCCATATGTTTGCTGACAGAAATTCTCTTAGCATAAATCAATATTTGCCCCACCGCCAAATAAATATTTCTGTACAAAAAGCAAATAGAGGGGAAGGATTTGAATTACCGTCTTATGATAGTGGCTTGACTGAACAACGGTGGCACCATTTGTAGGTGCGGACAGATAATACGGCGGCCGTGTTTTAATTTCACACTTCAGTAAGAGTATTTATCTGTGGCCGGTGTGGCAGGATATAGTATATGTTCTGTAACTTTACCATGCAAGACTGTGCACCTCGTGATTTAAAGGGTTTAACTCGACGACCTTTTAAAAAACTGATACAGGAAGAGTCTCTGGACGTTGCTTCTTATCAACTTCTTTTGAAAAAATAATTCTGTCTTGCAAAGATGATTCAGAAAAACACATCTCGGCATGGAGGAAAATCTTTGATCTGTTTTTAAAGATGCGTATATTGACTTTTGCCCATTCGGGGAAAGGCAGCGGACTGCTGCAGCTATTGATTGTTTTCATTGTGGATTATTCTGTCTGTAATTTGCTCAATGAATCAATTAGTTGTTTGCTCAATGAGATGTCAGAAAAATGATGAAAAACCTTAATCAGTGCTGCCTGAAGCCCAAGGTGTCATCCTCAAATGTCTCATTTTGTCCGCAACCTAAAGATATTCACTTGATTGTCATAGAGGAGTAATGGAACCATCCATCCATTATCTATGCACCGCTTAATCCTCACTAGGGTCATGGGGGGGCCCTGGACAGGTCACCAGTCTATCACAGGGCTACACTTAGAGCCAGACAACCAAGCACACTCACATTCACACCTTTGAACAATTTCGAATCACCAGTTAGAGAGAAGGTGTCCTCACCGGGACGTGAACTGGCGACCTTCCTGCTGTGAGGCCACGGTGCTAACCACCAAATATTTAACTTTAAGAAGCACGAGTCTGAAAATATAAACCTATTTTATAGTTGTCGAATAATGTAGCAGTT